AAGTAATAGAATATAAACCTACTGATGTTATGAATCGATTAGAAAACCTACTGCAGGAAAATTTGGCTGTTCAGCACTGTTATTCCTCCACCTCATCCCCTTCAAACTACCTAAATTAGAGACTGCATGTAATAAGCATTTCTCTTTGGGTGTCATCTCATAAATTTAATTTAATTTGAACCAGTCTCATAGAGGTGAACAAGAGAATTGTGGATTGAGCCCTGCCTTTCCACCCAGCTCAGTGTTACTTGTTTTTTGTTTCTTTCCCTGTTTCTTCAATTATGTTATAAGTTTCTATGCTTGTATCATTTTAATAACGGAATAGAAAAACAAATGTTTGTATTTATCTTATCCTTTTGTGTGTGTGTTGTACATTCAACACAGAATCTTCCATAAAAAGAGAAATTTTATAAATCATTTTTCTTCTTTCTATATACATTTGACCCTTGAAACAACATGTGACTTAGGGGTGCTTACAGTTGGATTTTATACAGTTGAAAATCCAGGTACAACTTTGACTCCCCAAAGACTTGACTTATAGCCTGCTGTTGTCTGGAAGCTTTACCGATAACATAAATAGTCGATTAAGACACAGTTGGTATGTTATATGCATTATATACTGTATTCTTACAATAACATGATTTAGAGAAAAGAAAATGTTATTAAGAAAGTCATAAGGTAGAGAAAATATATTTACAATATTTATTGAAAAAATCCACATATAAGTAGACTTGAGCTATTCAAACCTGTGTTGTTCAAGAGTCAACTGTATGGTCCTAAAAAGTTTGTTTTAATCAAATGGTTTGTTTTGATCAACCCAAGTTGTACAACCAGGCGAAACATTCTTTGAGTGGGTGGCTGGACCTTGCTCTGATTTATTTCTAGTTAAATCGAGTAATAGCATAAAATCCATTAGCAATCACTCTCCTAATATTGTAAGGCTCCTAGGAGCCCCATATGTTTCCTTGGAACAAGTGGCAATCCCATCTATTTTACACATGAGAAAACTGGGGCTTGGAAGTTAAATAACTTGATAAAGGCTACTTATGAAATGAAAGCAAGGATGGAAATCTAGGTCATTCTGACATCAAAACATGTGCTTGTTCTTCTTACTGTGCTCTGCCACCCTCTCTACACTTCTTTTTAATGTTTTTATTGATTTTATAAAGAGGAAGGGAGAGGGAGAGAGAGATAGAAACATCAATGAGAGAGAAACATCTATTGGCCACCTCCTGTACGCCCCCCAGCGGGGATCAAACCCACAACCTGGGCATGTGCCCTGACTGGGAATTGAACCAGCAACCTCTGGTGTATGGGTGGATGCTCAACAACTTAGCCCTACTGGCTGGGCCCTGTCTACACTTGTGTAGGATAGTGGTTTGCAACAGGTGTGCTGTGGCAGGCACACTGATGTGTGTCAAGGATTTTTCAAACATGCAATACCTGTCTGTTTAGTCAGGGGCACTGACCTCTTTTCCCTTAGATTGTCAGATAAAAAAAAGACAACAGCCAACACAATAGCTGTATGGTGTGAATGAATCAAAATTATACCCACTTTTTTTTTGTCAGATCGGCCAAAAATAGAATTTTTTGGTGTGCCACAGAATTTTAGTAATTAGTTTATGTGTGCCATGAGATGAAAAAGGTTGAAAATTGCTGGTGTAGGAGAAAGTCTGCAATCTCCTTCCACCGAGATGACAAGAAACAGCTGAACACATGCTACCCAGAGAACTCTATCCATTAGCATAAGTGTTCCTTTAACTAGGCTGTCAGCTTTTCTTGTGGTGCTAAAGTTTTTAAACAGCTTTATAAGTTTTGTCTTTGAAATGATGGACTTACTTTAGGAATATAGGGGCCAGAGAATAATAGGAAAACATGAAAAGAACAAAAGTGAAATCAAAAGAAACAAAAAGTTGTGTCATGACTTTCTCAAACCAAAGAGAAGAGAATAAAGGAGGCAGCATTGCATGTCCACTTGTTTCGGGGACCTGCGGCTTCCCTTTGCTTCCACACGGCTGGTTGCTCTGTCCACCAGTGACGTGGGGCTCCCAGGCCTCAGGTGTCAAGCCCCTGGTAGGTCATAGGTAGAGTAAGGAAGGGAGCAGAAGACAGCAGACTCATTTCTTTTTCTTTCTGTCCTCAGGAACAGGAAAGGAGCTTCACTTGGTAGCTATACTTGGAACATTTCTGATAAGATAGAACAGCTGTATTTGCTGTTGATGACAGTGATGAACTTAATAGATCAAGGAATTTCTCACAAATTGATAGGGTCTTTCGACTTGCTGAAATTTCAGAGGTTATCTAGTCCAGCACCCCAACCAGTGCAGGAATGATTTTCATAAGAGTGCTTTTCTCACTATAGGTTGTGACTGACTAGGGCACCATGAAATTTCCTGGGTGGTGATCATCATTTTTAAAAGTGTAATAGAATAGAAAGTGTTACAGAACATGTCAGGATGTGAGGGCACATATTTCTCCTTTAATGTTTGATTGATGTGCATGCACAGTGCTTTCAGTGGGCAGCTGTTGAAAGAAAACAGGTTCCAAATCAGTTCCCTACACTTCTACATTTTGCAGACCAGAAAACTGAGGTTTGCTGTGGTTAAAGATTTGCTGAGGAATCATAGCATGGGGGCTGGTATCAGCATGAATGCTGGGATCAAAAGGATCACACCTAAAACAGTGCTATTTGAGCTGTACACATATATGCCAAGTTGTGAAATCTGCTGTTGTAGTAACTGACATTCATCATTTTTAGTGTGTCTTTCCAGCAAACCTTTGCGATGATGCGTGGGTGATCAAATTAAATGTTGTTGATGTAGAGTGCTGGTATCTTGGGATTGGAAAGGAACTTTAGAAAGGCCAGCTTTTAATCCAGCAACTCATTGGCTGCATGGCTTCTCCTTAGCCCCACAATGTCCCCTCTTGGTGGCTGCTGTAATTGACATGTGAGTGAGGCGGCTCATTTCATCTTAAGTAGATAAGGATGCTGAAGAAAGTAAGCTGGATATGACAGGGATTAGAGAAACAGTGTGACTGCTCAGCAGTCTGCATAAGGAAGAGGTGATGTTTAGCATGGGTAAGGTGATGCGGTAGAAGCCCAGGCTCTGAGTTGGGACTGAGAAGGTGAAGAGTGTGAGGCAAAGGATTGGATGGTGGCTGGGAACACTTATGTGGGTTATGGGACCTGGGGGTCATCCCCTCCTCTCTTCTCTCCCAGGGGCTCAAGCTGGCATACTTTGTACTCCTGCTCTCCACAAGCTCTGGCTTCTGTGAGATGAAAAAGTTAGGAGTTTCCAGTAATCAATATGTTTTTGACCTCAGACCTATAGATCAAGTTGTGGCTCATAGGGATTTGAATCTTTTTTGAAAGATGTTTATGGCTTGGCCTGGGTGGTTTTGCCATTTAAGGGTTTGCTAAATATAATCACCATGCAGACATAGCCATAATGGCCCAATTTACCTAACCCCAGAAGGAAAATAAGCCACATACATGTTTGAGAGGCTCATTTCTTACCACTCCAACAATGGACTGCAGTACAACCAGCTCTGTGGTAGACACTGGCCTGTCCCTCAGTCTATGGGACGGCTAGTTGGAGTGCAGTGCACTTTGCTCTTAAAGAGCCTGGGGACCCTGGTCTAGGCCACCAGGATTCTGTTACGTTATTTCTTTACTGCTGAAACCTAGTTTAAATGTCAATTTACCCTCTCATACACATGCACATGCAGTTTATCTAGTGAACTCCTAATCATTCTTTAAAACCTAGGTCAAATGTCCCTTTCCCTCATTTGTGAATTCATTCAATAGTTATTTATTGAGTGCATATTATGTACCAGATTCTGGGGGTATAGCATCGAACTAAACAAAGACCCTGCCTTCCTAACCTTGACTCTGTGTCCCATAGCCATGTGTCTGTAATGGAATCTCTTTTATCTGCAATCTGTAGTCCAGCGACTTACTCAGTTGAATCAAAGAACAGATGGCTTGCCTCTCTGGTCCTTCCATTTCTGTCTAAGTGAATGACCCAAGTTGTACAACTCTCTAAAAAACACCCAGCAGTAATGTCAGGGATGGCAGAATTCTATGGAGATTTTTCTACTAGTGCAACAACTGCCAGAGCTTGTCAACCTCACATAACATGTAAAGACCTAATAGAAAATTATAGCCTTCCAAAGTCTGATACTCTCTATGCTGATAACTGAGCCTTTGCTGCTGCTGGAGTCCAGCATTGGTGAGGAGGAAGGACATGTGCAGTCAGAAGAAGCCTGGGCCTCAGTAAGAATTCCCACCGACAGGAAGCACATGCGTCTCCTTTCACCTGCACACGGGCAGCAGGCATTTCCTGGCCATTGTTCGAGGGGCCGCCTCAGCACTATTTCCGTCCACCAGTGAAGCAGGGCTGGAGCTGGCCAGCTCTTAAAGGCTTGGCCTTGGTGTGCTGCTTTCCCAAGCCAGCACCACAACCTCTGGGGAGCCAGAGCCAGCTGACCAAACTGCCTTCCACCCTTCTCGTTTAACAACGAGAAGACGTAGGAAAGAAGATTCTCTTGTATAAAAATAAACGTGGCAGCCCCACTTGCTTTCAAAAACATGCTCTCAAGCAGGTTCCTGTCTTTTACTTATTTATTTATTTATTTTTTTGTACTGTGGCTTGAGGACAGTTTACTGTGGGAAGTAGCTGCCAGTGAATTCATGTACTATGGCAGGACTCGGATGCGGACACCATGGGCCTAGAGATGCAGAATGTTAACCCAAGATTTATTGAGGAGAAATTTGATTCTTAAAAGTTTCATGTGGAAAGGGTAAGGCGTGTAGTAGGTTAGGCGTGTAGGCTTGATCAGTATGTCATGTGTTTTCTCATTATGAGCCTAAAAACTTAAGATCTGTTTTCAGCAGCTGATTGACCTCCCCAGGTAGCTGCCCTTGCTCAGCATTTCATGCTCAAGTATGTCATGGCTCTGTGTTGATTAAAGATCTCTTTCTGTGCTTTTAGAGTGAAAGGTATATCTACAAGATGAAAGCAGGGAAGTATAATAAGATTAAGCTGGACACTAGCAGTTTCTCTTTTTAGAAATACCAACTAGTAATTGCAGCTTCCAAGTCTGTATTTTACCCTCTCTCCTATGCCTATTGTTTTGAAAAGACTGGGGCAAGGGATGTTGGACACTGCCAATCATTTCATTGCTCAAACACCATTCCAGACTCCTCTACAGGAGGCAGCCATCTGAGGGTGGGGTCCCCAGAATAACCACCACATCCTACAGAGCCCCTGCAGCATCCACACTCTCTACTTGAAAAAGACGGAGAGTCATTTCAGGCATCAATCCCCATCTCCACTTTCTGTGCGGGGACTGTGCTGTATTCATAACCAGGGTCTAGTTCAGGGTGAAGGGAGGTGGTGGTGTCAAATGTGGCTGCAGGGAGAATTGGTGGGTCCTCACAAACACTTTCTGTTGTCCCCTCAGTGTGGGTCCTGCTATGATGACCATCCCAGAAGCTGAGCTTGGATGAGGCCGGTGCATTATGTACAGTGTAGAAGACCTCCTGATTTCTCATGGATACAAGCTGTCAAGAGATCTTCCGGCACCACGTGAGGGGCGCAATGAGGGGCGCCAGCCAGAGAGGACAAGAGCGAGAGTAGGCCATGGCCTGCTGAACGGGTGTGAGGATGGCCCTGCAGCCCTCCCACACAGTAAGGGGTCCCTGGGGACAGGACGTATGAGTGATTCTGAAAATGACCGCCATGCACTGAGAGCCGGTGGAGAGCCCCAGTGTGCCTCTGCTGCAAGGATGTCTGAGGAAGGGTAAGTGTATACCCACCATATTCTGCGTTGGGCAGTGGATATGAAATAAACTCCTCCAACTCCTTATAGTTGGCTGGGGTTGGGATGGGGGAGGGTGGTGAGGGACAAGGATGCTGCTCTCCATTGAGGTATTGGGATGTCCTAGCAGCACAGGACCAGGCCATAGAAGGCCTTCAATAAACTGGTGAGGAAATGAATTTTGTCACTGCGGTTCAGTACTCGGCTTCTTTGTTCCCTTGTAAGCTCTTGATATTGCCTCAGGTAGGAATCATTTAAAAACTCTGTAAAAGGCACACATTCCTAGTACATTAAGCTTTCTTACTAATATGTTTCAGTATTTGGCACTACAGAGTTGAAAGAGGATCGTATTCCCCTCCATTGGTGAAGAACACCTTTCTTCTTGGGTATCCATATAATTCCACTGGCTCCTGACCCATGCTTCCCTTGCACACACACTAGACCCAGTGTGGGTCCCCATCTGAATACAGCTGCATCTGTGGGTATTTGCTTACAACAACAGAAAAGGCCACTTGACTGGGAGAACAGGAGGGTTAAAAAAGAGGGAATTTCAGCAGCTTGCCACAGAGGCAGCATGGGAGAGGAGCTCTGCAATCTCATCCAAGTCGTTTTGACCTAGAGGAAACCTTTGTCATCACTTCATAAAACTGTTTGTCTTTAACGCTGTGTTGGAACCAGGCTCAGACCAGGGAAAGAGGGCTCTGCCTGTATTGAGCATCTTTTGAAACTGTGTATAACTGGCAAGGAATTAACCTGTCTTTAAAGGAAACAAACAAGCACATAGAAAGGGGAGTGAATTAAGTCTACAGGGGCTGAACTAGCCTTTAATGGTTAGAAGTCACCTTTTTACAGAACGGATCTTTTTTGTTCTTTGACAGCTTTCAGGTAAAACATGGTAGGGATTTTGTTCTTATAATTCAGAGCATCTAACATGTTGGTTCTTAAGTAAAAGTGAAGGTGATCATTTCATGCCCAGTGTAGTAAAAGTAGGTTTGTGTAGACAAGCCAGACCATTTCTCTGGTGGGAAGAGTTATCATTGATGGGACCAGGTTCAGGGGAGACCCAGAATGGAAAAGAACTTGAAGCTGCTTTTATTTAACTTTGGCCTTCCAGAGCACACTTGCGTCCACTGCTGTCTCGAGCTTAAGTCTCTTTTGAGCCATGTTCCCTGAAAAAGACACCCACCATGGACTCTGGAAGAGGGTACTTATGGATGAGTGACTGAGAATTAGACCAGCTTAGTTACCATGACACAGACTTGTATATCTGTACTTTTCACCTTATATTTCAGAGTCATAAGAGCTTGTTACAGTGCTGGGCGTACTAGGTGTTTATTGTATGTTCATGGATTTAGTTCATTCTTCCCACCATTGTGACAACTGTTGAGAAGCAGAAAGTTCAGGCTGTGGAATTCATGTGCACACACCATGTAGGCTCTGCGCAGTCTCCCCCAGTCTTGAAGGTCTGGATTAGAGATGAGAGTTGGATCCCTGAGTAAGAGATGATAGAATCCCCTTTAGAATTCTGTGTGGGCAGGGTGGCTCCCAACCTCGTCTATAACTTGCTTAGGACTTTCTAGCTCCTATGTGACAGCAGGTTCCTGAGGACCACAGGGCCCACCAGCCTAGCCTCTAAGTGGGTGGGCATCACCAGGTCTGCCAGAAGTCTTTCCTTCTGACATGAGTAAAGTGCCCAGGTGAGTGGCTCGTGTCTTCATACAGATGTCAGAAGTTTTTTTAAAATTATTTTAATTAATTTTTTATGTTTTTATTGATTTCAGAGAAACGAAGGGATAGGGGGAGAAAGACAGAAAATCAATGATGAGTCACTGATTGGCTTCCCCCTACATACTCCCTAGTGGGGATCGGGCCCGCAACCCGGACATGTGCCCCGACTGAGAACCTCCTGGTTTATGGGTCAACACTCAACCATTGAACCACACCAGCCGGGCTAAGCCAACAACAGAGATCTTGACAGATCTGGCCTCTTTCTCCAATTCTGTGGTTGGCTGATTAACTTGGGAGGTGTACACTAGCTTTGGGATTGAAGGTTGCCTGGTAGTGTTGAAAGAGATAATGTACAATACATGCTTGCAGAAATCCATGCCAGTGCCCAAAGCCTCAGAGACCAGCTGAGTTGGGTTGTAATGAAATGATGTTTTTTGTTTTTTTATCCTCACTGGAGGATATTTTTTTCAATTTTCATTGCAGAGAGTGGAAGGGAGAGAGAGAGAGAAACATCAATGTGAGAGAGAGAGACACACATCAACTGGCCATCTCCTGCGTGCACCCCAACTGGGGCCTGGGATCGAGCCCGCAACCGAGGCACATGCCTCTGGCTGAAATTGAACCCAGGACCCTTAATTCCATGGGCCAACAGTCTAACCACTGAGCCAAACTGACCAGGGCTGTTTGTTTGCTTTTAAGTAGTCAACAGAGAACTGAAAACAGGAGGTGAACAGAAAGGTGGGCAGGAGGAGGATTATTTTTTCTCATCAGAAAAAAATGTGCTTTGGGACAAAATAAATAATAGTTAATAGTCTAAAAATTAAAAACAAGAAAAATGAAACCAATAATACTTCAGCTTTCATAAGTTCTGAATCTGGATAAATAAATGGTACTGAACCAGATCCCAGCCTTCAGTCACTGGATGAGTGCAGCTGTGGTCCTGCAGTCTAGCCTGTCCCTCTGTGACCCTGCTTGGCTGGCCTCTGGGTGGGGGGAAGGTGAGGCCCAGAATGGCCCTGTGTTGGCTCCAAGCCATCAGGGTGACTGGGAATCATCACATGGACCCTTTCTTCCTGTAGTTTCTCTGGTGGGTTGAGGTCTACCCTAAAGTGTGTCCCCACACCACGGGCCGGTCCTCAGCGCTCCACTGACTTCCTGGGAAAGATGGCTGTCACAGTCATTTGGAAGACCACAGGGGCCAATCAGTCAGTTTGTTTTATTCTGGCAGGATAGTGATGGAGGCATGCTGGTAATGTTATTTCATAGCCAAAGAATGTGAAGCCCCGTGAATGTTGGTGACTTGGCAAGGGCCACCGGAAGCAGTAGGGGGAGCTGCCAGGCCGGCTGGTGGTCACCTCCCTGCAGCAGCATGGGGCCTGGCCGAACTCTCTCGTGTGAGGCCTAGCCCACTTTGGAAGGGACGGACACTCAGTCCTCTGGGCGCCTTTCATAGTTGCTCAGTGGCCTGTCCTTTCGCACTTCCTTGTCCTCTGCCCTCCCAACAGCTCACATGGATGTGAAACTGCCCAGCTACAGCCCTTTCCTGTGTGGAGATATGTAAGGAATGAATCCTGTAACACCTAAATTAGAAACATGTTCATCACTCTGCTTCTCTAGATATGTTGCTCAGGGCTACATAAATGAAGGTGGGATTGTCCATAATCTGGGCCATGGTGGGAATGGTCAGAATTTAGTTCTTTCCCCCTGATAATTAACATCAGCGTAGAACAGAGTTTATGTAAGGGCTGGTTATATCAAGTAAAACTTTAAAAAAAAAAAGAGTATAGATATGGAGTCTTGACCAGATTTCCAACATTCAGGAATATGAATTTCCTAACTTGCTGAAGATCAGGTTGTGCTTTGAGCTTCTACTGTCATTAGATCAAGTGATACCGAACACCCAAGATGGGACGAGAATGACAGTTCTGACAGGAGAGGTGAAGGAACGACTGAACTTGCTAAAAAGCTCCTACTCTCAATCAGTGGAGCCAGGACCAAGAGTCCATTCTTATTTTACACAGTTATTTATCCAAACTGATGATCAGAGAGCTATTGTTTTCCAAAGCTACATTCAGTGTGTTGCAGTGGCTGCCTCAGGGCTGGTAACTTTACAAGCACTGACCCTGATTGTACACCTGCTTGCTCAGGGCCTCCCTGGGCCTCATTGCCTGCTTTGTCAACCCCCAGCTCTTTAATGGGCCCTGCAGGCCTCCTCCTTTGACTCACACCTGCCTTTCCTATGTCCTCTCCCATTTCCAGGATGCCAGCCGCACAGGGCACCATGTGCTCCCCACTCCCTAAGCCCTGCCCAGAAGCACCCAGAACCCTCTCCTCCCCATCTCCTTGGGAAGCCCAGCTTACCAGTTTGACTTGTTCAGCTTCCTCCAGTTAAAGTTACTCTCCCATGTGTTTTTCCAACACTTTCTCCTAGTCCCCAGGATTGCTAGCTTCCTGAAGGCTGATACCATTCTCATATTCTCATTCATCTCTGATTTTGCTAATTCTGTTAAACCTTTTTGCATTTATTACTCAAACATATTTCAGAAATAAATACATGGGATAAACCTAGTCCTTTTATGGCAAAGCAGTTGTGTAAGTGCTGAGTATTTCAGGTCATTGGCTATGTGAGATGGGAGGTAAAGATCTTGTCAGGGATAGGACCTGTGTGAGGCTAGTTTGGGGAGCTTCCATTGTGAAAGGAGGGGTGTTGGCTTTCTGTGATGGACAGTTGAGGTAGCAGTGCTGATGGCTTCATTTGCACACACTAACTCTTGGGGGATGAGCAGGGAAGTAGGGATGAGGAAATAATAGAGACTCAGAAAAGTCCCTGCAGACCGACTAGTCCTGGTGATACAGTTTCCCTCCTTTGTGGAGTCTGTGGGTGCAGGAAGCTGAGCCCACCTGAGTGAACAGGGGGCGGTTGTTGTGAGAATGTAACAGGGCGTCTCCTGGACCATCCTCAGGTAGGAAACGTAGACTCACAGGCTTCATTTCATGTGGGAGCCAAGATTGGTCCATCAGTTGAAGTCTCTCTGGGTTGGAGTTTGTCCCTGGGGGACTCTTTGGGTCTCTGTCAAACAGTGTCTCTGTCTCTGCATCTCCCTGCACTTCTGCTCCCTCCTCTGCTGACCAGCCTTTTCCCTTCATGGACAGTTATTTTTCCTAGGAACTTGGGCTCTTGGTTGGTGAATTTTTTTCTCCTTTTCTACATCATGGTTTAACTCCAGAGCCCCTGATGGCCACTACCTGCTTTT